CACTACAGCCTGACACACTGCTCACTGACACTACCGACTGACACACTGCTCACTGTCATTACAGCCTGACACACTGCTCACTGAGACACTACAGCCTGACACACTTCTCACTGACACTACAGACTGACACACTTCTCACTGACACTACAGACTGTCACACTGCTCACTGAGACACTACAGCCTGACACACTTCTCACTGACACTACAGACTGACACACTGCTCACTGAGACTACTGCCTGTCACACTGCTTACTGTCATTACAGCCTTACACACTGCTCACTGAGACACTACAGCCTTACACACTGCTCACTGACACTACAGACTGACACACTGCTCACTGACACCACAGCCTGTCACACTGCTCACTGACACTACAGCCTAACATACTGCTCACTGTGACTCTGCAATCTGACATACAGTACCGCTTACTGAGAAACATACACGCATGGTCATCCACACCAGTGTTGGCATCCTTATAGTTTATTATTGCTTCCAGAAAACCAGGGAAGCCAGTCATGTTAAGATTGTAATTGATTTTGTTATTTTTAAAAATTGTATCACAGATATAATAAAAATTGTTTGCATACTTTTAATCTTGTCACAACTGTTTGTAGAAGACGTACATTGTTCTTTGGGTTGAAAATAAATGTGGCCCCTATTCTGGTGATGTCATTAAAACATTCCGTAGTCTGTCGATGTCCTGAGCCTGTGTTTTGTCTGCGACTTTTCCAGAAGTTCATGAGGAAGAGGAAGTACTGCCTGTTTGCTGCCTTCTATTCTGCCACTCTGCTCCAGGACGTGGATGATGCCATACAGTTTGAAGTCAGCATTGGCAACTATGGCAATAAGTTTGACAACTCCTGCCTGCCTCTGGCCTCCACCACTCAGTACAGCCGGGCAGTATTCGATGGTGAGATCCCAGCTCCAGCCTCCAGGGGGTGTCAGTGTGCAGTTAATATTCTAGTTCAGTTGCCTATGGTCTGCAGTCTCATATCAGACTGCAAAACTCTTCAGCTGAGTGCTATGAAGACATTATTGTTCCTTTCCTGTTGAATTTCTAGTGATATATGAAGGGTTCTCTTTGCAAAAAAATAAAATTCATTAACAATAGATGTACAAAGCTTCGTAGTTGAGCCACAAATATGAAACATTAAAAAGAAGAACTAGTAAAAAGTAAGATTTATCAATCCATTGATACAATTAAATAATTTTTATTTAGTATAGCGCCCATTGCTACTGCAAGTTACCACAGAGTTTTTGGACATATGCATTAAGTAATATACAATAAAAAACAATAACAAAATGACATAAAAAGAGACTTAATACAAGCATCAGGCCTAAAGTAAACATCCACATCTGCATACAGTTATACACAACAAATCTAACACTACAGTTCTTGTTGTAAAGTTTTTTTGATCTGTTGATGATAAAACTGTTAATATTAAGAACATATAAAAGTTGCAAACAAGGGAAGGGCAGGTGGCCCCCTGTTCGTTTTGTAATTAGTAGGTAATTGAGTGAAATATGTTATCCAGCTGTTTCTTGAAAGAAGCCAGGGTATCCGTTTCAACAACATCCCCATTTTAGCATTCCCTCCTTATCTGTGCCCTTTGTTTTCTCTTAAATGGTTCTAAATCCACCCATATGCCTTTCCCTGAACACCTACTGCCTGTAATTCGAGAATTAATCCTTAATGAAGGACCTTATAAAACACCATATCGTATATTCCTTACGTGTACACTATGGTTGAAAGCTAAGTAACAGGATAGTTACAAGACCTACACTTTCTATATCCTTGCTGACTATCGTCTAGAAACCTATTTCCATCTACAGGAGGTATTTCTTTTATTTACTTCTAATAATTGTTTCCATATCCTGACATGTAATAGAAGTCAGACTAATTGCTCTTTAATGACTTGGTTCAGTCTCCCCCCCTTCTCATGAACGGGCACTTCCTTAGCAATTCTGCAGTCCTGAGTGCGCCCCTGTCTGAAGGGACTGACGGAAGAGGTGGTAAGATCCTGTCAGGCCCTGGGGGGTTATTAATCTCGAGTGCTCCTAGTACCCAAAACTCTTCTCCCTCTTCTGTGCTGATACCGTCCAATACAGACCTGTGTCCTTCTGTTGCCTGAGGCCGGTTGTTGACTCCTTCCTCAGTGAACACCTGAGAGAAAAAGGTAAAGATTTATTCCATGCTGAAAGGAAAAGAAAAGAGACACACAATGTTTAGGCTATGGAGCCTTATTCAGGTGTCATCTCACCAAAACGTTTTACTTCTCTTTTCTTGTCCTTTCAGCTGGAATAAACCTTGACCTGTTCCTTTGCAGCCTACACATGCTGACGCAGCTCCCTGCCTGAGAGGACTGCTCGATTACTACACCATTCACTTCCCCTTTGTCCCAGATGCAGGATCCATTTTGCTTTATCCTTCTTAGTTGTTGTGTGCGATAGTACTTAAGGAATATTTTAGGATCATTTTAGGCTCCAAAACAACATACCTTTCCATATCTCCTTTGAGCTGTCCAATGTCTACGTGGGTTTTAATTGACTTGCGCTGGGACGACGTTATATGTGCAGTGCGTGTACAGTGTGTGCAGCTCAGTCCTCAGGTGGGCAGCCTGTTGACCCCGCTGTCTTGCCTGCCCTGCAGGGTGTCACTATTACTACCTGCCCTGGGGGAACGTGAAGCCCGTGGTGGTGCTGTCCTCGGAGTGGGAGGACGTGAAGCCGCGCATCGACGCCCTCAACATGATGCTGCACATGACGGAGCGCCTGGTGAGTCTGCAGCAGCTGATCGGTGGTGCACAGCCCCAGGGCCCCAGGACATCCGCCTCTGCCAGGCTCTCCTGACCCAGCGTGCACTCGTTCTTCAGGGCACAGCAGCAGGCCCAACGGTCATACAGTCTGGACAAGGCTCTCCCCCAGCGTGAGGAGTATGGGAGTCGGACACTAGGTGTCTCTGCTTTAGTGACTCCTTGTAAGGGTAGTGTCCTACCAGGACTTGTACTTTTGCATTGTTACAGGTGTGGAGAGAAGGTCGTCTCCAAACTGCTTGTCAGCCCTGCTGGCAGAGTCAGTGAAACAGGTCTGATTCTCTCTTCTCCTCTTTCCCCTCTGGTTAGGAAGCCAATCTGGAGCAGGTGCAGTTGGATCTGAAGGCAGGCAGTCCAATGCAGGAGGTGGACAGCAAGGTGTCCCATCTCTTAGACGATGTCATCGCTGACTGCAGGTATAATCTGGTTCGGTGGCTCATAGGGGTGGGGCCGTGCAAAATCATCAAGGGGGGCCTAGTTCAGGTGGTCTTAGTCTCCTTTGGGCAGGGATAAGTTACCATTTAAATTGACAAAATCTTAAACATCATGACAAATTAAAATCTAATAACTCAGGATGATGGTGTCATTAATTAGAAACAAAACAAAAGCAGAACTACAGAACAACATCAATGTATTTTAATATTAATAAAATAATATATTTGTGGAAATATTATTAATGTGAATGTTTTTAAGAGCAAACACTGTGTAAAGACGTCCCTGGTGAAAGGCTCATTTGAATGGGACTGCGGGGTCGCAGATGACTCTGGGTGTCCCGATCCCTAGCTGGGCCAGCTCTCTAACTCACCTTGCTGTGTGCTGCAGCCAGGAGCTCCCTGACCTGCAGAGCTGGCCCTGCGCCACACCCCTGGACAAGGCCAGGCGCCACCTGCGCAGGAGCAACCTCCAGCAGATCCAGCAGGCGGCGCTGGCCCTCAGACACGGCCCCGCCACGGAGCTGGGCGTGGTGCTGGAGCAGGCGGAGGACTGGGCGCTGCGGCTCCGGGCCCTGGCCGAGGAGGTACGGCAGGAGGGGCTGGCTGGGTGGGAGCGTGGGGAGGGGTGCACAGAGCCGAGAGCCCCGGCGAACGGCGGAGGTGAGCGATGGAGGATTGTGCTGCTGATCCATGGCGGGTAAGCTCAGGAATTGTCAGGAAGTTTGGGCCCTCCCGCTCGCTGTGCAGGAGGTGGAAAAGCACAGCAGGGGTGGGGACAGATGTAGACAGAGGTAGGTGGAAGAATGGCTGAGGGAGCCTGAGCAGGACATTGGCATGAAGCAGACACCGAGGGAAATCGGACAAGGCCGTGGACTCACAGCGCTGTCCCTCTCCCAGCCCCAGAACAGCCTCCCGGACATTGTGATCTGGATGCTGCAGGGGGATCGGCGACTCGCCTACTACAGAATTCCCGCTCATGAGGTCTTCTACTCCCGGAGCCACTGCGGCAGGAGCTGTGGGCAGCTGCAGACCATCCGCATGAAGGTGAGCCGCAGGGCTGGTCCTGGTGCTGAATCTCCGGGTCGGCTATGGCCACTGTTACCACAAGCTTTGCACAGCACGTGGGTGTTTCAGAGGTTACGGATGGATAAGTGACTTGAGTTCTCACTTCCTTCCTATTTCCACCTTCACTGTATTAATGTGCTCAGGATTTTAAAGCACTCTGATGAGGACGTGAAGACTTAATGAAAAACCAAACAGATGTGATGTTTACTTGGCATTTGTTCAGGTGCGTGGAGGACAGTGAAAGAAACTGACAAACTTTAGTTGCCCAGGTATCCTGCTTCGAAGTCCCTGAGACATATTCTTCACAGACAACCTCTTTAGAATGAAGCACTACTTTACCCAGAGGATTGCAGGACTATGGCAGAAGCTGTTAAGCAGTCATTGAATCCATTTGCCTGGGTTCCTTAGAGAAAGTACAGAGTTCTCAACTCTAGAAATCCAATATTGTCCACAGTACCACTGAACACAATTCACCATTTGATATTTTTAATGTGCTAAAATGAACAAATGCAGACACAAAAATGAAGTAGCTGTTTTTTGCCTTAACACCTGTGATGTTAATCAGTTCAGCTCAGCTTAATTTAATGTGCTTCATGGGCATGACCAATCCAGTACAGTAAAGCATGACATGAGACGGCTATTAACTACAACAGGTAATTAAAAATTACAGTGTCAAGAAATAGCTTAGTTGCTAATTCCAACCTAGTTGTCTTGCCTAGAGCCCTTAAACCAAGCTGGGTAAGAAAATGTGTCATTTTCTCTCATAGTCCTCCACCCACCACTGCCTGGTGAACCAAGACTTCAGTTAATCTCTCTGATTGTGGACGTTACCAGATTTCACCGATGAGCAGTGTGTGGAGTGACTCTTGTGTGTGTTTTACGCAGTATCCTCAGAACGGCCGGCCGGACTTCAAGATCCCTGCACAGCTGCGTGTGCGGGTGTGGTTCGGCCTCTTGGCCGACACAAAGGAATTCAATCAGTTTGCCGAAGGGAAGCTGTCAGTGTTTGCAGAGACGGTGAGTGTCAGGAAGGCTGAGGGAGAACAGATCTGTCCATCTCACTCGGTGAAAAGATTCTTGGGAAAAATACTTGGCGTTCACGTAGACACTCACTTACATCTTCCGGACAATGTGGGAAAACAATACTTAAGGCGAGATATATTGCACCTCTCAGTGGTCATTAAAGATCCCCGGGCATTTCTTGAGAAGAGTAGGGAGTTATCCCGGTGTCCGGGCCATATTTCCCCCCTCGGCCCCCCTTTGGCACAAGCAGAAAAGATTACTAGAGGACACGATTAAGCAAACACGTGTGAACTGAAATTAACTTTTACTCCAGTAACTCGAATGTCCTCTCTCAGTCAGTGTCACACTGTTATAGAGGCTCTGCAAGCCCGTCAGATCAAGTGATGCCCAGGAACAGTGGGAGGTTCCTCTTGACAGCTTGGGGGCGGGGTGAGGCCTGTCGATGTCCAGTCAGTGACTTGTCTTCTTTTTCCTTTGCCAGTATGAGAACCAGACCAAGCTGGCCCTAGTGGGGAACTGGGGAACCACTGGCCTCACATACCCCAAGTTCAGTGATGTCACGGGGAAAATCAAACTGCCCAAAGACAGCTTCCACCCATCGCCTGGCTGGGCCTGGGCAGGGGAGTGGTTCATCAGTCCAGAAAAGACGTCAGTGTCCCGCCACATTCTCCACAACTCTTCGTACTGGGCTCCCTCCTCCACACCTCTCCACTGCCTGTCTGTCTCTTTCCTCACTGTCCACTAGTTGTTATTCTGCTTCCCAAAGAGAACTGTCTAAATTACACTTGATGTGCATGAACTTTTTGTTGCTGTTTTTGGATTCTCTTAAGCATTTTTTGCATTGCTGTTTTATAACTTGGGCCAAAGGCCAAAGGCCAAAGTTTTTCCTCTTGTACAATAAAAGGCATTCATTAAGGTAAAACTGTTATGCAACTTAATTGCCATAGCTCAATGTCTTGATGACCACAGAGCTTTGTGTCCTGTGTGCCCCTCAGGCTGCTGTATGATGTGGATGCGGGTCACATGACATTCATGGAAGAGGCATTTGAGAATCAGATGCGGTTGCCAGGGGGGCAGTGGATCGGGATGCATGAAGGCTACACTGATGTGGTTAGTGGATTTTGGCCATTTCCAGCACTGCAAACCTGAATTACCACTTTATGCATTAGGGACAGGGACCATGATTGCCTTCTCTCACACCTGGCCTTGGTCATCCCTAATTCAAATTGCACTGACTGGTACTTCTGTAGTGATTCAAGAAGTCTCAGTGCAGTGTTGAGATAAGTTTGTTACGAAAGCCCCTCAGCTGAGCAGAGAGATGCCAAGGTACTCTCATTCACTCAACTTTAAAGCACAGACACTTCTGGGAGATTCTAATACCTTCGATATGACCATGAACAACTTATTATGTTAACTATGTAACATACAGTATCTTAGAATTAGAATTGACCTGGCAAGAATATATATTTAAACCTAGACATAGAATACAGTGTATCATTCCATAAACTGTTCAGCAGCTCAAAAAATGTCAATCATTCTATAGGGGGCCTAGCCAGCTAAATGAAGATTTGTCACTGTGATCAGAATTACAACAGGTGGTCTGCCTTCTTTCTTAAACACGAAGGGTAAAAGTAAATAAAGGTTTCATCTAAATTCAGTCCAATGAAATCCTGCACTACTGCAGTTATTTTAATTTATTTTCCCTTTTTTCCTCACTTCGACGTGCCCATACTATAAGATGCAAAGAATGGAAAGAGCAGCCTCCTTCACTGACTTCTTATTTTGTGTGCTGAGGCAGAACGGGGAGAAAGCGCTGGCGAAGGATGAGATCGAGTGTCCTCCTGGCTGGGTGTGGGAGGACGTGGAGTGGAGCGAGGATCTCAACAGGGCTGTGGACGACCAAGGTACGGTCTGCCTCAGCAGGTCAGAGACAGGACGCTTTGCAGACATTTACATGCGCTTCGTGCCCTGCGGTGCCCAGCCAGCGTGTTAGCACAGTCAGAAACTCAAAGGACAATGCAGAGCTACAGTACGACACAGTGACTTTTATTAGCAGAGTTGTAAAGCCAGAACTGAGTCCACCAAAATCGTAACAGATCCGGCATGTCACCCAAACCCTGACCCACCTCCCCAAACCCTGCTTTTCCTGTCTTGTGTCTTTCATTTCACTTATGGGCTGTTTCTCAGCCTGGCTCTCAGCTCCAAATTCCCTGTGAGAAGGATTTTCAAATGCAGTGAAGGTGAGGCTTTGAGTGCACCTGCTGGAAAGATAGAACCTGACACTGAAGTAAGAAACTGAACGCAGTAAGTTTATCCAAGATTAAGGCATTATAGTATCCTACCTGTATAAGACTTGGGTCTTCTAGCTTTTGCTCCCTGAAAATATGCAAGCATACTGTAGAAGCACTAGACATCTGCTTCAGGATGTAAAAACAGCAAGGAAAGGATCCCAGCATTACTATGTGCGGCTGCTGAGGGCTTTCACACGTTGACACCAGTAAAGTCGGCACGTCACGGAGACCGAGGGGCCTCAAGGATATGATCGGCGAGCTTCCAGTACTCTATTACCATTGTGAAAAAACTCGATTTACTTCTGACATAGTGTACTCTCATATTCGAGTCTTTTTTGAGTTGCAAATGTCTTATTGGTAATTCAATGGACAGCCGGCAGTACTGGACACCACTTTCCCTCTATTAATCTGGTAAAACAATGATTTACTGTACTGTGGTACAATACAGTGCATTAAATAAACAGTCCAGCAATATATTAATATACAGCACAGTTACAGTTTGTATTAACATATCGAGGAAGCATATGAAGTCATCACGTCATGTCATTGCCAAACCACTTTATACCCTATGGTGTCGGGGGAAGCCAGAGCCTACCTGGCAAGCAGCGAGCGCAAGGCAGGGTTCACCCTGGACGGGGCGCCAGTCCATCGCAGGGCAAGTGCAAGCCAATCACACATGGGGACAATCTGGAGGCCACAGTAAAGGCCGAGGGGGGAAATATGGCCCAGACACCGGGATAACTCCCTACTCTTCTCAAGAAATGCCCGGGGATCTTTAATGACCACTGAGAGTTAGGACCTCGGTTTAATGTCTCATCCAAGAGACGGCACTCACTCCAGTATAGTGTCCCTGTCACTATACCAGGGCATTAGGACCCACACAGACCGCAGGGTGGGCGCCCCCTGCTGGCCCCACTAACACCTCTTACAGCAGCAACCATAGCTTACCAGGAGGTCTCCCATCCAGGTCCTGACCAGGCTCAACCCTGTTTAGCTTCAGTCATATATATTTTTCTAATACATTGTAATATTGTGATTTTGGATTTAAAAAAACGTCATTCGTGATTTAATGGACAGTCAGCAATAACAGACACCCCTTCACCTCTGTAAGTCCATTAAACTGAGGGTTTACTGTATCGTTGAAATCTTTAAGTTGTATGAGCAGCCTTAAGGACAACACACTGTATCCTTCCATTGTATCTTGAGCAGGCTAGGTGAGCAGATGCTACCCAGAGACAAAGTAAAAGGAATTCAGGCCTTTCCCCATACAGTAGTGAAGCACAATGCAGTCCAAGAAAAATAACATATATTTCAAACCCTGTTTATCATTACAGCGGCAGTTACCAGGTTACAAAGATTCACTGGTTAACCAATGAAACCACAAGCAGTCCATCACATCACTGCTCTTCATAACTCATCCCTCGCTGGACACATTGTGTGATTCGGCCAAGGGCTCACACATGAATCACTGCTATGATGTAAGACAACTCGAGAGAGTCTCATCCAACCCATGGGGAGAAGATTATATTAAAACAAAAATTCAGCCAGGAGCCAGCACAGCGAACCACTTTGAACTGTGGAGGAAAAAGCAACAAAAAGAGTGAACTGTATCTCAACATCATTTTATAATTCTAAATTATAAATTACCTGTTGGTTTCAGACAATTGTTATGTTATACATCAGGGTGAGCGAGGTTTGTTTACAATGAAAATGAAGAATAACTTAATCAGTGTTATGTACCAATACGGAAGTTGTATTGTACGACTATAATCACTGATGGGTTTCAATGCTACTGAAGAAACATAAGTTAATAACATAAGGGCTTAGTCAGTAAGTGGGGGTTGGCCTCTGGTCGGGTAAGTCGTGATGAGATGAGTTTTCAGTTTCTTCCAGAAGCCGAGTCTGTGGTTCAGGCTGTGGCAAGTTAGTTGCTCCACCACTGGGGGGCAGCAGAGAGAACAGTCAGGCCTGGGACTCGCAGCCCCTCAGACATGGCAGTGCCAGTTGGCCAGAGGAAACAGATCTCAGTGCCCCAGCAGGAACACGGGGCCTGGCTGTGTCCCACAGTTATGGGATCCCCTCGGGATCCCTGTAGGCCAGCACCAGGGTTTTGAGTCTGACGCCAATGGAACGACTTCTAGAGAGATGTAAAGTAGTGAATCCTGGTGATCTCACTGCCTGAGCCGAGTGCCGCCGGCTTTCCTTTCCTTGCGTTCCCTTGCAGTAACGGGGTGTCACTGCTTGTCCCAACAGGCTGGGAATACGGCATCACCATCCCCCCAGACCGCAAGCCCAAGTCCTGGGTGCCGTCAGAGAAGATGTACCACACTAACCGGCGCCGGCGCTGGGTGCGGTTGCGCCGCAGAGACCCGAAGAGGATGGAGGTGCTGAGGAAGGTACTGCGGCTGCGGACTGCCCACGGAAATACAGTTTTGTCCCCAGATCCACCTCAACAGAGCATTCTGCTCATTCAGCACCACCTCTGCGTTCGAGAAGATGCATTTCAATTCATTCCAAGTCGCTGCGTTTTTGCAGAGCATTTCCTCATGAGCTCACAGAGGGGAGCCGCTGGCTAGTTTTCAATCAGAAAGTTACCTCTTGCTTGTAAGGCTCAATGTAAAAAAACGCTAGCCTGATTTAACATTGCTGGGACACGAAAGGCAGAGACATTGTAACTTGAGCTGATTCTGGTTCGTGTTTAGAACCCATTTCCTGTATTATAGAGTGACTTAAAATTCACACAAACACTTATTATTTAAGTTTTTTTTTAAAAAAGTTTCTGACTTTTTGCATGTCTCAACAGGTAGCAAAATATATTGATCAAAACTCAACTTTAACTCGCTTCTGAAATCTGAGCAACAAGGAATCCTGAGGTGCCCATCTGGTGTTGTTGTAACAGTAAAAGCCTCTAGGTGGTGCTGAATGAACACTGAATGGAAGTTTACTTCAGGAAATAAGTGAGGGTGGTACAGTGTTTAGCACTGTGTGTGTGCCCTGCGATGGGCTGGTGTCCTGTCCAGGGTAAGATAAGATTAGATCACTTTATTAGCCATATACAATTTATTGCTTTAGGAATTTGTCTTTTCACATACCCCAGCTTGCTCTCCATGGGACACAGACACACAGACAGGGAGAGAAGCTTGGGGTCAGAGCGCAGGGTCAGCCATTTATACGGCGCACCTGGAGCAGTTTAGGTGAAGGGCCTTGCTCAGGAGTAGGATTCTTCTGCCAGCTGCAGGATTTGAACCAGCAACCTTCCAGCCACAGGCGCAGATCCTCAGCCACAGAGCCACCAGGTGTACGCTGTCTTGTGCCCATGGCTTGCTGGGACAGGCTCTGGCTCCCCCGCGCCCCTGTGCAGGATAAAACGGTTAGAAAATGGGTGGATGTAAATTTTAAAGTGCTCAGTGAGCATCAGGGAATCCTGTCCGCACTCCGTTCACGATTTCAGAACTAGTCCTATTTCTGTAGTCTCCCTGATGTCCATTAGACATCTGTCGTGAGATTTCATCATGAAGAACCTTTAAGAACAGGGCTTTATGTTCCTATATGCATCGGACACTTGAGTGTTACATTTCTTACCTATTAAAACTCTAAACATTTAAATATGTGGTGGGCTAAAATAATTTTAGTGCTCAGGTTTTGTAAAATCTATCTGTAGAATAAAAGTCAAATAGTATTAAAACGTTAAGTTGAGAACATTTAAAAAGGAGCTCTATTCCTGTTTTTGTACTCTACAGTTAAAATCAGACAGGACATTGCATCAGTAGTAAATACTGGTGCGAAATGGAGTATGATCCCGAAGAGAAAGATTAAAAA